GCAGGACGTAGTTAGCGCTGGTAGAAATTGTCATGGTTGCTTGTGGGCTGAGATAATGCCAGGATGCGTAGACCTAGACAGCAGGACGCTTCTGATCCTCAACCAAAACCATTGATGCAAAAACCTGTCCGCAAGATAGCGGGGAGTTGGCAATGATTTAGTGTTACGGAAATGGACGCCGCCAGATTTCAAGCCCCAACTTTGAGGACCAGGAGACTGAGTTTGTCTGAATTCTAACCGTTGACTAATCTGTTGGAGTTGCTGGATTTTTGCGCAAGTGCACCACTTAATATTTCCGAGTGGGTCAAAATGGCATGCCGACCATCGCACCAGGTTAAGTTCCAGTGTCTGCGTCGGCACTTGGCGTTGATCAATAATCTGTATTAAAATTGCCGCTCCGTTACTTGCCACCCATGTTGGACCGCCGCTCCCTTCTCCCTCGTTAGCACCTCCTCTGCTTCTGTCCATTTTGTGCCATGCTGCATTTCGTGGATTTTGTGTTTTGGTGTATTACTGGTTTGATGGTTATTAACCAACTTGACGCGAACTGTAATGTGGCATGTTTAGACACTGAATTCAACCACAGAACGCCATTTATTGGACAAACGTATCACTCCACTACATGAAAGGTTTATCGTAGTAAAATGTTAAACCCTTCTGGACCTGATGTGGCCATGAACCAATTAGACCTGAACGCGATTATGGTCCTTTTAATGCAATACTGTTCATTCATTCGCATCTCACTTGGAATAGTAGATTTCATTCATGCAGTTGTCACAATCGAGTTCACCCCACTGATCGTTCTTAAGGTTGAGTGCCCATTTTGGTTGGGATCGGATTCCACGTGGAGGATAGTAGAGGTCCCATACGTATGGTCCTGTGAGGAATCCCGCATCTTATGATACAGAGACAAATGAGGCATTTTGTAGTTATGTTAAAATCTTGAAACATAATTTCACTTCATAATTTCAGATGAGAATATCAGAAGACGAAGTCTGTGTGATGACACTGTTATTTCGTGCATCATCAAGTCCGCACAGTTACATGATTGGCAGTATTGATTTAATTGAACTGCTGGCTAAATCTGCATTTGTTATTGTTCTCATCTTAACAACTCTGATATTTTCAGACTATCAAGCACTTCAAAAACCCATGTGAGATTCTGCATACAAAGCAAAGACAAGTAATTATTTTATGCGATGTTGTTGTACAGATTGAGCAGGCCACTCAGTTGGACTGCGCCTCGCAACATCAAGGAATAAACCATTTATTTATTCATAATTTATTTATAAACGCCATGTTGATGATATATGTATGGTTAATCTTTGACTTGAACCAAAGAGCTC